CTGAGCCGGTGAGATTTGAACCGCTGACCTGCTGATCTAGCAGTAGCCTGTAGTGCTGCATTTAACCACTGCGCCACATCTGGCTGGCCCCAGAGTATGGTGGGAATGGAGATTTTGCAGTATCCTTTCCCTGCCACGCCCCCCAAGCCATGCCCACAGAACCCATAGTAAAAATATTTGAATTTCACCACTGTCCCAAAGGTGCTTTTTTCAAGAGGCAACTATACTTTCTCTTTTTCTTCATATAAAATATTTTTTTTATTAGCCTGATCAATCAATTTTGCTAATAAATACATTAATGGAATTAATCAATCACTCTAATTAACAGAAATGTCAGCCGAGAGGCAAAATATCTGACGGTTCAGTAAGCAGGAAAGAGGATTATATATAGGCCATTAAAGTTGTTTCATTTTATCACATTTTTTTTATTGAAAAGCAAGCTAGAACGCTTACAAATGTATCTTGTAAATGCATAATTTAAAAAACAAAATAAACATAAGCATATAAATTGCTTCTACCTTAAGTAATGCGTATTAAAGTTTGGTTAATCATACTGACTCAGGGTTAATATTAGTAGTATTTTTCCACGCGAGAAAAATATCCTGATAATTGTTTTGCAACCTCCTGGTTGATGGCAATTTCAAAAATAAAAATAAAAAATTGCTGGCATCAATCATGGTTTGTGACTGGATGGGATATATCAGCAAGAAACCCCTAAGATCTGGGTTAGACTGAACATCACTGATGATGTTACCTACCTAGGTAAGGAAATGTTTGCAAGAAAAGAACCAAGTTCAAATGTTTATGGAGATTCTCAGTCCTCCAGATCATAGTTGTCCCAAAGTTGCTTTTTTTTCTCAAGAGGCAACCGGACTTTCTGCTTCTTCTTTGAAGACTTTTCATTTCTCATTCAAGAATCTTCCTCAGCTCTGACAGGATGGTGGGGAATGGAAGGATTGATGTCTGTATCGATGTGGTTTTCTTGGAATTGTAACAGATGGGGAAACCTTAGATGTGTCTTTCAGAGCAGGGGGTCTCCGACCTTAAGACTAGTGGACTTCAACATGCATGACTGGCTGAGGAATTCTGGGAGTTGAAGTCCACAAAATTTTAAAGTTGCCAAGGTTGGCATGATAGCGTGGGCCAAAAACTTTGGTTACAGCATAGATCTAGTGGATTGGGAAAGAATTTGGGACACAAATTATAAACTAACACGATCAGCAGCACTTAAAGAAAATATATACAAAATGTTTTATCATTGGCATTTACCACCAACGAGATTGGCTAAAATGTACCCAAACATGAATCTGACCTGCTAGAAGTGTAAAAAAAAT